CTTCCATATGTGGTGGCAAATTCAGCTGTGGCAAACTAGTTTGGCTTATTGGTGGAGTGTTCAGGGTAACCGGAGACAATGTTTTAATACATTTTTGTATCAGAGAGAGAGTATCATAGAATTGATTTTCAACAATATCTCTATTTTCGTTATCATTTGCAGTGAATTCTTCAAGATAAGTTTCAATTTCATCTTGAGTCATTGAGTATTTTTCAAAGTTATCTTTTAAGTTAACTATACGATTTTCAAATTGAGTTGGATCTACTTCAACATCCTTATTGTTTTTCACCCAATTGGCAATGCGAGTAATAGCGCTTTTTGCGCGAGTACGGACCTGCTTCATAGCATCAAAATCCATATTGAGAAATAGCCTTTAAATAACTCCACCAATAATAATCAATTAATTTAAAATGAATTAAGAGAGCCAAACAAGCTAATTAATAAATTGTACCTATACAAATCAATACACAATGTACCTATTTACAATATAGAATATTTACAACAGAGAATGTACTTACCAAGTACGAGCAATACAGGGATTCGAGTAGGCAAATTTCAATATATAATAAAAACACAAGTTTTTATTGAGCAGTGTAGAAATGAGAATCTTAAAGCAGTCAGAGATAGAGGCATAAAAAAAACATTAAATTTTTTAATTAATTACATTTCAATCAAGGCTTTAATCCGGCTCGAAGGACCAATGTGACGGAACTAGCTATTACCCTTTTGTGGACTCTAGTCATTACCGCACCAGGGATGTCAAAAGTTTTTACTTTGACTGACTGTAAAAATTAACCATTAGGTGTTGGATCATTTAAGCCTTGTATTGAACTAGGGGTGCCTTGATTCTCATTTATACAAATAAAACGCTGAAATAGAATAGTTATCAATTTAATTAATAAATGAAGTTAATTCGGTTTAATCAGCAATCAAATCCTATCTAATAATTCCTATTTGGACGTCCAGTCGAACTACAAATTTTATACTAATCTAAAGTAAATAAGCGAGTAAATAAGTATCTTGATTTATAAAAAATAGTGAAATTTCATAATAATAATATCAATTATGGTTAAATGTTCAATGAACGAGAACACAAATTAACTAATTAGGTTTACGAGAGCACAACACAAATAATTCGTGAACTTCAATCAGCTCACTGTATTCACAAAATGTTTATAATCCTTGAAAGTTCTTTTGTTTATTGAGAGTTAATAATTTGAGCACTTTTCTGCTGAAGTGTGTAAACAATAAGTGCAAGAAAAGTCTATATATATATGCTCAGTTTCTATATACAAATTTACAAATTAATGTTCATTTCACGAAAGTGAAAACCAAATTTCTGTATTAAAGGTTAGAACAAACACTTCAATTTATAGTGCATTTCAACCGAATCAGTATTCAGTATTTATTAATTTATTGTTCGACTGTTTTGAGAAATTGAAACGGTCTTACTTGCTTAATCCAGTTCATACCGGTAAATCCATATAGTGATTATTTATCCATTTATCACTATTCGTAGTAATTTGCACTGTCAGCTAAGGGATTTTCCACTAAGAGAGAGAACACAATGATATACAGAGTTGAAGCCTGTCGAGAGTGAGACAGGAATAACCTTAAACAGGCGTAGTAGAGAATTTTGCTAGGTCCGAGATGACTTGCAACAATTTAGGGGTTAATTACATGAATTGTAATCAATAATATCGTTGATAATATAGGCCATGTCAGGCCTTGAGACACTGGGAGTAGTATTTTACTATAATTCGCGTACTAACGGGGGTTTTCTGGGGGTTTTTTCCTCTGTAGAGCGTTCAGAGGCGAGAGGGTGCAGAGTCTTTGCTTACTCTTCTGCTTCTTGATTACTACTGTTGTGTACCGTGCGTCGAGTCGACTGCCTTTTTCGGAGCAGGTCGCATAAATCAGGGATGTTGGGTGGCAACTGACCAATCACAACAACAAAATAGATCCATTGCTCATAGGGTAATGAAGAAATCTGTAATTTTACCGATTCAAAAGGGCTGCTGTTGCCAGTTTTACAGGATTCTTTTTTTAGAATATTATTTTTATGATAAATAATAGAAATTGAGATTATATTGATAAACTACAAATAATAACATTTTAAACTTGTTGTGGGTTATTTCCGCAACACATTTTGAAATTCTTGGTTCCCAATATATGTTTGGGAACCTTTCCGGAGACACCTGGTTATCGGGAATGTGATTCGGGAAAAGTTTTGAATGAATCTTCGATAATATCCTACTAGACCAATGCCTTGATTTCTTTTTGTGTCCTTGGCATTGGAAATCTTTGGATTGCTTCGATTTTGAGGGGATTTGGTTTTATTCCTTCGGTTGTTATGATGTGTCCTAGGAATGAGACTTCTTTGCATAGAAACTCCGATTTGTCTGCTTGGATTTTAAGGTTGACTTCCTTAAGTGTTTGTTGTATATGGTCTATATGTTCGGAGAGAGATTCTGAAAATATTACGACGTCATCCATATAAACAAAACAGAATTTATAAAGATAGTCTCGGAGAATTTCGTCCATCATTCTCTGGAATATGGCCGGGGCGTTTTTGATACCAAATGGCATTCTAAGGTACTCGAAATGGCCGTTATTAACGGTGAAGGCTGTTTTTTCTATTGAGTTGGGATCCATTTCTATTTGATGAAATCCCTGAGAAAGTTCCAAGGTTGTAAAATAAGTGCATTTGTCTAGGTTGTCCAGAATTTCCTCAATTCTTGGGAGTGGGTATTTTTCTTCACGTGTGACATCATTGAGACGGCGGTAATCGATAACCATGCGGAATTTTCGTTTTCCAGAGGCATCAGGTTTTTTTGGAACAATCTAGACAGGGGCAGAATATGGAGAAATTGATGGTCGAATTATTTTATTGTCCAAAAGTTTTTGAATTTGGGACTGAATTTCAATATTCATACTGGGAGGGTGTCTGAATGATTTGACATAAATGGGTTTTTCGTCTGAAGTTCTGATAACGTGTTTTGTTTTACTTGTGTGCGAAAGGTCAGAATCTTCGTGATACATGATATCTTTAAATTCGTGGCAAATGCGCAAAATTTTCGATTTTTCAAGAGCAGTTAAATGGTCAAGCCTTATTTGTTTATGTGGGTCGAATTTATTTTGAGTTGTAAATGGTGGGTCTATTAGTTCGAATTGGTCCTGTGGGATTACTTTTATCCTTTGATGGAAATTTATGTTAACATTTGGTATCGGATTTGGAATTGTGCAGAATCCGTTGGTTACTTTTACTAGGGAATCTGGGATAACATGTTCCTGGATACCAAACGAGGGTTAAATGGCATTTCTATTCTCAAAATTTACAGGAATTGTCAGGAAGTTATTATTGAAATTTCTTACTGGTTGGCTTGCTTAGAGGCTTGTTGTAAGCTAAAGAAAATGGAATTTTTATATTTTTGAGAGTTAAAGTTTTGGTTTCGTAATCAAGAAGAGCCCTTAAATTTCTCAGATCTTTCGTCCCTATGAGGGCATCAAAGTCATTATGCCAATTTAGAACACGCATCTTAAAGTGTTGATTAATGCCGAGTTCTTCTAAAAGGGTAATATTCAAGTTTTTGTTTTCCTTGTAAGTTTTCTTACAAGCGGTGACCTCAAAAAATATATTTTTTGGGTATTGCTCAGCAACTCTAGGAGATATAATAGAATCGGAGGCGCTTCAGTCAATAAGTATGGTGATTTGTTTCTGAGGGAGGTAGAAATAGGGTAACTCAATTTTTTGCGCTATGTTATTTAGGTTAATGTTGCATTTGAGGCTTGTATCAAAAAAATTTCTTGCTTGCTTTCAGGGTTTTGAGAGTTATTAGGGGTGAAATCTTGGATTTCTGTATAGGCCTCAGGGTTGTACGTCTCTTCTTCATATTGAGGATATTCTTCGTATTGAGCCATAGTGGATTGCTCGTCGTAGGAGTTATAGATGGAAAGTTCCGGTTGAGTTTCCACGTTAAGAGCTCTTGGGATGTGAAATTTGCAGGCCCTGATGGCTGAAAGAGACTGGGGTATCTAAAAAGTGGTTGTCTTTGCTGAGTCATTCTGGATGGACCGGCAGTCTAAATTGACATAGGGGCAGGCCCATCTTGTCTGGGAGGTCTATTGGATTGTTGCAACTTCGCTTGATTACCAAAAACTTGGAAGTTTGTAGGGTAATTTCTTTGAACTGGTCGTGGGTTTACGAATATGATGGGTTGACTTGGAAATGTCTGTTGAGCTGGTAAGAGGTAATTCATGGGAGGGTGTGGAATATCAGTTGGGGATCGATTTATAGAATGGTTTGAATTCTTATGTGGGGCGTTATATTTTTTTTGTATGGGATTCTGTAATTTTGAATATTTGTTATATTGTTGAAAGTTGTTGTTTGAAAAATTCACTTGAGATTCACTCATGTTATAATTCAAAACGTGAGTTAAAGCGTCGTTAATTTTGTCTGGACTCTGAAGCATAAGCATGGTTTTCAAAGTTTGGGGGGAATTTGCCGTTAGAATCATAACTGCTGTTTTTTCGATCTGATTAACAAGTAAAATTTTTGAATTTTGCTCATCCACTTCACACTGGATTTTCGAAATTATTCTTTGAACAAAAGTTTTTAGTCTGTCGACGAATTCTAAAAAGCCTTCGTTTTTATTAATTCTGACATATTGCAACTGTTGCATCAAAATGGGGTACGTGATCGGATCCCCAAATTTTTGTCTTAACGCTTCCTTGATAGGCGTCCAGTCGATTAAGTCTGGACGAGAAAGTTAGAATTTTTTTGCATCATCAACTAACTTGGATTTTATTGCAGCTAGAACCAATTTTTTCTGAGCTTCTCCGTTATTAGAATACAATGAGTAAAATTCATCGATAGAAAGGATACAACTTTCTAGGTGATCTTGATTTCCAGAAAAAGTTGGCAAAAGAGTAGTGTGAAATCTTAAACTTTCCATGTTTGAGTTATCGTTACTTAAACTTAAATTATCTAATAAATTGACTAATTCGTCCTCAGTTTCAGAAGGATTATTTTCTGTTAGATTGTAACTTCTAAAACCTTCAGAATCTTCGGGACTACCAGATTCGTTAGAGCTGTCAGTTTCGTTATTTTCACTAATATTTGATAAATCCAATCCTAAGGCAGCTCTATTTCTTTGCAAAATTTTTCTTAAACGTTGAGAAGGACCAGACATTAATAAAATGAGCAAAAATCAAAACAAAAAAATGGCAATTTCAGCAATTACTTACAGTACAAACAAGGTAAGCTCCATAGAGTTGTATTGCAGAGGTACAGCACCAAGGGTAATCCTATAAGGTGAGGCTGGAAGTTTGCTGGCTTTCTTCTATTCGTCTGGATTTTTTCTGTTCGTTCTGGCTGGGTTGTGGTCGAAGGTCGAAGGATGGGCACCAGCTTGCTAGTGTTCTGACGACACGGCAAGTTACCTACAGCTTTCAATTTCTTCTTCGATATTCCAAAATCTTTAGAAGAGGTATGCACAAAGTACACAGTTATATTACGAAAATTCCTGTTTAGTTATTGCAGAAACTCGCGACGACCGTCGTTTACTTGTCACGGATAGTTCTGGAGTTTTTTCCAAAAATATTCAGAATAGCACACTAAGATTGAAAAATCACTTTCGCACAACGGAACCGATTTTGTGCTATCCTGTTCGCAGCGCCAATTAAGTGACACAACCGTCGAACTGTGTTTTAAAAAACCGTTTATTTTTGCATAGAGCCTTAACTTAGTTCACAACTAAATGTTACAAAACTATTTCTAAGTTGAACAAAACTACGAACAGCGATCTGGCTTTGACACGCAATTAATGTTACTGTTTACAATGGTAATTCCTAATTTATAATGTAATAATGCGTATTCAGCATTATTATATTATATTGTTTAGGTTTTCGGACGTTTCTCTCTAAAGCTGTACTGATCTGAACTCAATACCTACTGAAAGACTTGCCCCTTTTATACTTTTATTTACCCACCACAATCGACAATATGGGTGGTCGTTGACCATCTGTTAATTCAATTCTATTGGTCGACCTAGATATTATTCCAAAAAATATAACTTGCTTATCGGATGATGTCGAAATCTGTGTCGAAATTGCATGATTATTGATTATAAGGTGTCAACGAAATGGGAAAGAATGTAGAGGACACTTAATTCAAAGAAAAGCCGCACTCGTGCCGGCAATAAATTATACGATCTTTTGAAATTTCTGTCATTGATAACACACGCCTGATGACTAGCTATTAAAAATTGAACGTATTTTATACTTATTTTAATTTATTTGGCTCAATGATAATTTGTTTCATTTTCAATTTTTGATTATTTGATTACATTTAATTTTTACTGTTAAGACATTTTAAAAAACGGGTCTATTTTTCCCGGGTCATTACAATCTACATATTTTTGAAGATTATAGGTATATATGCATTTTTTACACAGGTAAAAAGCTCTTAACCTTTATCCAGTAATAGACAGATTTCAGGCCAACAAAAATAACGGATTATCTCGCTTTTTTCACTCAAATGTGAAAATACCCAATTGAATTGAGGCTCTTTATAAACGACTCTTTTCTGCTTGTGCATTATCCATTATAAATTGAGGCTGTTATGCATTATGCACTAGATTAGCCACTATTCATTAAACATTAGATAAATCAGGCTTAATTTTGAATTGATAAAAACCAGCTAGCAAGTTCACATAGTCGGCGTGGTATGATAGCTTTTCCGGATTTTTTTTTCAAACTATCCTGCAGTTAATAATTCATATGAATTTTCAATATCTACGTGATATGTGATATTGACAAGCTGAGCAAACAAAATGCCAGAAAAGCTATTCAATAAGTCTACGGATTTCAAGTATAAATCAGACAAATGCAGTAAAGAACATCAGGATTTCTTTAAATCCTTTAAAATCCTCACAAGGGAAAATTCAAGCCCTTACAAACGGTTTTTTGTTATTTGTGCTCAAATCCGTGCAGCTTTGTAGCTATTGACGTTAACTTTGTATATTTGCGCTCGACTAAGCTCTCTCGAATCATTCATTGTAAATGCTAACAGCAAAATAAAATTTCATATTTGTACCTGCATGTTATTTCATTGACATTTATACCTTTCGCATATTCCTAGAAATTCTTTCAATATGAATGTCCAAAACAAGCAATCGAGACCTCCGCTAGAAGGAAATAAAAAGCGATTGGGCAACGTCTCCGGAAAAGGGCACAGACGATACCGGATCGATAGATGTAGGTCAGAGTAGCAACGTTTTCCGAGAGGAAAATGAAATTGCCGGATTTTTATGCCGGAGGGGCTCCGGAAAAAGCGTCTGCGAGTTCCAGGAATTGACAATTTCGGGGGGCCTAGAATTTCCTTCATTAAATTGATTAACCTCTTAGTGGAAAAACTCAGAGTTGAATTGAGTTCCGAGCAATTGTCGGTGCCATTACATTTTGTTCACCGAGCTGTCATTTTGGAAAGCTGCTCTAAGTAATTTAGATAAAAAAAGGCCCTTGTAACAAGATAAACTGAATTTTCAAACTTGAATGGAATTTTTTAAATATATTTGAGGCATATTATATGAATAGATAAATGAAAATGATCATACTGAATTTTTGATGAATTTATTCCTCAATACCTATTCATCAAGCCCATTGTGATATTAAATATTACCAGAATCAAACCACAAAATTTCACTAGAGACGTGTAATTTTCTATTATTAAAATTATTGAAAGCGACGCGACGCCGTGAATGAGATAATTTAGAGGTATATGGTGCCTCTATTCATACACATGAAAACATGATTGCTATTAAAGGGTAGCGAAACATTTCGGTTCAATAGGACAAAATATGAAAGGAATTTGTGTGTGTTCATTAGGAATCTGTTGGGTTTACGAAGTTTCAAGTATATTTTCAGAAAATAAATTTTCACATTTTTCTACTGGCCCTATTACGGTCCAGAAAAAAATTGTCAAATGAGATAATTTGAAAGCGTTCCACAACGATGAAAGGAAAATTGGCCGGACGGTCAAAGGGACAGGAAATTTCATGCTTCAAAACCGGACCTCTTTCACAAATTAAATAAGGGGGGCAATATAATTTATATCTGGTTGCATGACCTAGGATCTCAAAGATCCGGGAATGGGATTTTCAAAAAACAAAAAAAGCCAACGGCTCTTGAAGGTCCTTAAGGAAAAACTTTTGCTAAAAGCTCCCCAATTCGCACTGGTATAAAATGCGCATTAAAAGATACGCAAAAAGATGTAAAACTCAACCTATTAAGAATAAAAGGATCAAAAAGGACTCGGCCCTAAACGGTTATTGCTTTAGTTATCTTTTACTCGACTCGTTAATTTTGCCCTATTTAAGCAGAAATTGTTGAGGACTTAATTTAGAGTGAATTAGACGAAGACTTTCTGCACTTGGAGCTTTTGTTGATGATATACTACCACTTTTAATTCGGTACAAATTTTATTTTTAAACTAAACGAAACGACTTTTCAAACTGGTTTTTATCAACCGATAAAGTTATATATGGTAGTTCGACTAAAAACACAGGACGACTTATTATATCGTTGTCCAGTTGCGAGTCGAGTTTTATTAAGGTAGGTATTTTGTTGTCAGGCAAGCATCCAAAATATGCTTTTCTCTATGTTTGATTTGTTGAGGCTTATCAGCAGATATTTTCAATTTAGTTTTACTTAAACTTTGTCCTATCTCTTGTTTACTCGTCCAAAACCATGCTGACTTGAAAAATCAAGCAACAACTTTAAGCCCAAAAAGACATTATTATGAAAAGATGCCAAATGATACCCCACATGACATCATTCAATTTACCGATCAAAGCAGGGAAAATCTAATCTGAACAATTGTTGGGCCAAAAGCAACGAAACCCACATAACAAACTCGATAATGAATTATTGTGGACGTTGACTATATTTATTTTTTTTTAAAATATTTAATCCTACTCCGACTCCACTTTTACAATGGACTTCACTCACCAAATTTAAAAATAAGCTAGCGAGCCTATTAGACCGCGAATAAAGAAGCTTTCAGCAGAGAAACATTACAATAGAAGGAATACTTGGTTTGAAAATAAATATTCGAAAAACTACTTGACCCGTAGCTAAGTTGCTATCAAATCAAATCCAAATCGTTGAGTTCATACGAAAAAAAAAAAAAAAAAAAAGAGCTGAAATTTCTGCGGCTGCCATCATGCCCAAAACGGCAATTTTCGTTCGAAAATTAGCTAATGACGTCTCCAACTTATTACAGTACTTACATGATACATTTGGTAATGGGAAACAGTTTACACATGAAGAACTTAACTCAAAATCTGTAGATTACAAATGTTTTAAAATTGTGGCCAACAACGATTAAAGAAACTTCCTTATTAGACCCAAAGAATTGGCTAATTGATGTCGAAATCAAAAAGTTTCAGTCCTTCTGCCTCAACAGGAGTAACCAATCTTCAATCTTTGGTCCAGAATCTTTAGACGAAGTAATCAACTTTGCCAACGAAACTATTGATAAGGATCCGGAATTATCTGTGAGCCTCTATTATCACAAGTAGGAGGCCTTAGGACAAAAACTCAAGAAGTTTTCAAAAATACATTAACTTCTAATCACGATTTTATCATATTGACTGGAACCTGGTTAAACAATTCCTTTGCTGATGCTGAACTACTTCCATTGCAATATGCAGTCTTCCGGAGAGATCGTGATTATGAAGCCAATAATTCACAACAAGTACTTATTGCCACGGATAATGACTATCAATCCTCCCTAATAGATACTATGTAATTTGTCGACTTTGACCAACACTGGATTCAAAGGAATTGCAACGGTTATGTAATAGTTATTGGGGTGGTCTATTTACCACCTAGTTCATCAGCAATTTATAAATTATTCGTACAAACCTGTGAATCACTTAAAGATGGATATAGGAACGCCGCATTCTTGGTGTTTGGAGACTTCAACCTTCCCTGTTTAAATTGAATCATGGAAGATGACGCCTTGTTTCTCGAAGCCACTCACACTGCGGCCGAACAAACACTCCACTCGACTATGTTTTCCATGAAACTAGAACAATTGAATAGCAAAAATGGCAACAGTAGAAGTCTCGATTCAATTTTTGCCACCAAATTGGATTGCCATGGCATAAAAAAAGTGGTTTCTCCTTTT